AAAATAATCAAAATACTACACTGATCAAAACCAAGTAAAATATAAATTAATGTTATTAATAGTAGTTCAATAGTATTTAAAGATATAATTTCCAAGGGAATATAAAATATTCATAGTATATATATAAAAAAAACCATAATAAAATTTATCGATTATGCAGGCTAAATATATTTAAGATTGTGGCTTTTATCCATTATTATTGTTACCTTTGAAAAGTCGTTAAATGAATGCGCTTTAATATGCACTCCTTTTAAATTGTACAACCTATTAAATTGATCAGCACGAAAAAGTGAAGCAATTTATTTATGCGGTGCCCCTAAATCCACAACTAAAGGCAGTTCAAAGTTGTCCGGTTCGACATTTTGGCCAAAAAAGGAGCCATCGCTGGCAGCCAACTCTTGTGGGTGCAGAAAAGTGCAGTAAAATGCAGTCGAATGCAGGAAGTGCAGCTGCCAGCGACGACGTGAGAAAGCCAAGAGAAATGGCAAAGGTACTCGCACCGGGCTAAAAACGAAGAAATGCAAGCCAAAAGCATCGCGGATGTCAATGCGGAAATGGAGTTGAAACTGATGTTGATGGTGAAGTTGTCGTGAAATGCCGCTAAATGAATCGTTTTGGCGTTGGTTTTGGCCATTTGGCTTCCTGGTTTTGGGCTTTAACCCTTGGGTGCCTTGATAGACCTGACCTTTTAATTGCGCAATTACGACTCAGCGAGCGATTTCCACTTTGGTCGCCTATTTCAAAGGGAGCCATAGCCCCATATGTTAAATGGTCAACAATACGATCTGCAACATTGGATAATTACTAAGTTTTGTTGTTCATGATTTGTTAGGATTTTTTATTTCTTTTTTGCTGGCTTCCGTTTTTTTGTTTGGCTTAGCGAATTCAGCTCGGGCTGAATACCCCACGTTTTCAATACCCCACGTTTGCTGTGCATTGAGGCGTTGCAAATGGCCGAGGGGCGTGGCACATGTTCATCACCAGTCATCAGTCGCATCCCAGTCGGTATTTACGCAACGTAAGCTACAACTTTTGCACCACCCCCATCATTAGCTCTTGGCCGCTTTCTTTTGTCCCACGGATTTTAATTAAGTCCCCTGTAAATCATCGCAGTTGCGTAACCTTTTCCCCGGAGTTGTGGGTCACCAGCGGTTTTATTATTAATCACGCACACGAAAAAACACAAGACAGCGAAAGACAACAGCTAAGGAAATTAACAAATTGATGGACCTGAGGAAGGGTTCAACAAACCTCCACGGTGGCCACATTTTTCGTAACGAAAGCTAATGAAAAAGAAATTATAAACATTTTATATAAAAATAAAGCAAAAACACACTAAATTGATATTCGCCGTGGCCACCGAAACACAAATTGCGCGTTTTATTTCCTTTTCCTAGGCAAAGGTAAAGATAAAACCACCGACGAAACCACAATGTTACCAACTGGGAATGCGAATTTAGGTCTTCAAATTAAATTCAATTGAAAGGCAAAAACCATGCGAAATTAATGTAAATATCCAGGAAATCAAAAAGAAAAACGTTGCTATATAATTTTTAACATTTTTAGGTTATTGTATAACATGATTTGAATACATTTGCATTTCATTTTTATTGCCACAATTATTTTGAACAACCAATTTAAATTAAATTTTAAATTTGTGCAGTCATTTTGGGGGATTTACTTTGATTAAATTGAAATATCAAGGAAATATAAAAAACACATACCGGGGTTATTATTTGGATAATTTAATATTTTAAAAAAATAACTTGTTTTAACTAATTTTCAAACAACAAAGAAATTTAAGACAGAATTGTCTATTGTTTTAGTTGTATTTCATAACAATATAAAAACAAGAAAGGAAAGCTAACTTCGGGCGGAGCCGAAGTTTATATACCCTTGCAGAATACTCTGTAAATTATATTCTCCAAAATTATTCATATGATGCATTCTTAATACTCATAAAAAATCCCAACTTCCTAACTTTAAAAACACCAAAGTTATGGCATTTCCAATCGTTCAGTTATATGGCAGCTATAGGATATAGTCGGCCGATCCTTATGAAATTTGGTAGGTCGGATTGATTGGCCAAATATAAAACCCATAGAAAATCCCAACTTCCTAACTTTACAAACACCAAAGTTATGGCATTTCCGATCAATCAGTTATATGGCAGCTATAGGATATAGTCGGCCGATCCCGGCCGTTCCGACTTATATACTGCGTGCAAAGGAAAGAAGGGTGTGTGCAAAGTTTCAATTCGATATCTTTAAAACTGAGAGACTAGTTCGCGTAGAAACAGACAGACGGACAGACAGACGGACAGACGGACAGACGGACAGACGGACAGACGGACAGACGGACAGACGGACAGACGGACATGGCTATATCAACTCAGGAGGTGATCCTGATCAAGAATATATATACTTTATAGGGTCGGAGATGTCTCCTTCACTGCGTTGCACACTTTTGACCAAAATTATAATACCCTCTGCAAGGGTATAATAAGGTAGATAGTGGTATTTCAAATTTCCTTTATTCTATCGCTAAAAGCATATCACTTTAAAAGCCATATTAATTATGATTCATTGAAACTAATTTATTGTTTGTTTGTTATTTTAGTTCTCTTTCTTGTTTATCTTTCTCAAACGTTTCCCCAGATGAAAACCTTACATAATTATATGTAAATAATTCTTGGCCTTGCCATCCGGCTCAACTGAACCCTACTCCATCGATTAGTTCCGTGACGAAGATCTATTATAAATGAATCGATATCTGTTTGTTCGCTGTGCTGTTTACACATGTGAGCTTCGGACCAATGGAATAATGAACAGAGCAAATATTTTGATTGAATACTTGTTATTACATATTGGGAGCAGAGGTAAAACCAAAATCCGAATCAGAGTACGTAATACGGTAGTAGGCAATGTGAAAGGGTTTAATATTTGAGCAGTTGCAGTGGCTTTTTCCCTCCGGCAACAATGTCTCGACTGCCTCTTTCACTCTCCCCACCTTTTTCCCACATTGATGCACGCCCTCATATTGCGTATACGCCCTGGTGCAGACCGAGTTTAAATCCCCGGTAGATGCATACCTGGCCCGAATGCACTTGGCTGACTGACTGGTTGGCTGACTCTCTGTTGACTTTTCAGATTTGCTCTTTGGGGCTCTTCTTTTTTGAAACTTGGAGCTTGCCAACGCTTCACTACGCCTGCTAAACGAGTGGGATTACGCAATGGACGCACATGAGGTCTCTCAGCGGCCCGAAAAAAATGAAAAAGAAACAGGTAAACGTAATGAGCACACAACAAATTTTTTTTTAAACCGAACCTGAGCCACACCAATATTGATATTTTTGGCCAAGTATCTCGAGTGTTCAAGTGGCCAGCAAACGACACCTACAACTGGCCAGGCCAACTCTGTAAATTGCATTTCGTAAGCGACTGGTCAAAAGAAAAAAAAAACGAAAATAAACACCGAAATTATGCCCATTCATCGGGCATAAATTAAGCATAATCAAAATGCATTAAACTTTGTTTAGTTAGCTCTGGGCCGCAATAAAATGTCCAGTAAAAATGTGGTCTTAAACCAAACAAAAAGTTCATGAATAAAGATGCGGACAACATTTTTTGCTTGAGTGCTTTTCGAGTTTCGGAACTCTAGGCCTAACACTTTGTTCCAATAAAAAACACACTTATGTCGGCCATTGAATTTAAATTAAAATGCGAAACACAATTTCCATTTCGATTTCAAACGCCCACGCTGTGAAGCATTTGAAAAATCACCAAGTCCAAACTTAATTGTTTATGAAAATACTTAATTGAAATAACAATTACTGTTTACATTTATGAGTGTCTGCGAGGCAGCCATGGACAAAAGAGCCGGTCTAATCAATCCATTGGCCGCCGAGCACTTGCAGCGTTTTTAAAAAGCGTTTATGAAAGGCAGGCTTAAGCTATCTTCACCTCGACATTTGCCCTTGCAGAACCGTTTCATATTTTCGACGGTTGCAACTCTATAGGGTCTCACATTTTGTGGGATTATCTCTGCGGTGGAATCTTGTTTTAATAAACTTGAGTGGAGCCAAAGGGGTCACACTTTTGGCCGGGACCTTTCTAAATTAAATTAATTACTTTGAAGTGCCTATTAATATTTTAAATGTTAAATGTTTCTAAAAATATTACAACGTCATTGATGGAATCAAAAACTTTAACACTGTCTTTCCTTTGAATTCAAAAAAAATTAATAGAAGGTATAGTAAAGTCATTGAAACTTATGATTTGACTATTTTTAATTTTTAAGCCTTAATTGGTTAAATGATTAAAATTAAAACATTGTCGTTTCATAAAAACTCCTTAAATCTTCTTAAATCATTTACAAATTACTTTTTAACATTAACGTTTTCAACTTTCCCCATTCCATTTTATGGATTAAGAATATAAAGTTAAGATCTCTTTAAAAAGAACATTAAGTAAAATTAATAAAAATTAAAGCTATTCATTAAAATTTGCTTGTTACCCACCACATTAAATGTCTTTAAAACAGAATTTAGATAAATCCTTAAGTGCTCCCCATTAAGTCCCATGATTAAAATAAAATGCTATAAACTTTTTTATATAGCCAAAGCTGGTGATGGCCAAAACCGAAAGCATTAAATTGAATGCAAGGAAACTGCCCCATAAAGCCAATTCCTTTCTGTCTCATAACAACCTCAACGTTGACAACCACTTCTGGCTTTCAAAATGCAAAAGATTGGCCAATGCCAGAGCGGCCTGCAGTTAAAGCCGCTTCTTCGGCCACATTCGTTGGCCGGGCCAATTGTTTCCAGCCTGCCAGCCACTCGAATGTTGCAGCGGCGATTGTTGTTTCGTCTGCTGCCAGTTGGTCAATAATTGGCATAGATTTATTTTGGCTAGTTGGCAATTTTTTGTTGCTTGCTGTTGTTGCGCGAGTGTTCGTGTGTGTACAAATGGATACGGGTTGTAATATGCTAGAAAACTTACCCACATCGCTGGGGCTGAAAATTTCCGCTGAATTTCGGCTTTCGCCGTCGCCGGCGGTCGCATTCAACTGGAGTTTCTGCTGATGTTGCACAGGCGGCTCTCTAATTGCACCATTAGTTGCATTCGTCTGCGTTTCACTCAATGTTGCCGCTGCTGCCACTACTGCCGCCTCAGCCAACAACAATGCCACCAACAACAGCAACCAGCAACAGCAAAATGATTCATTGCCTCGATGGATTTTCATCAACGACATCGTAACCGAAGCATATACCGAATAAAAAAAGTAAACAAAAGTACTAAAATTATAGTTGCTGCTCTGGCCGTTGCTTTGGCTGATTGTTTTCTCTGCTGATTTTCTATCTGGTTTTCTATTGTTCGTTTTCGCACACTCAGGCACACACACACACACACGAATTTTCCACTTTTCCACAATTGTTTTGTAGAATGAAGCTGCGTCTTCTGGTCGGTTACTTTGGCTGCAACCTCTCCCCTTTCTCTGCCCGTTGATGTTGCTGCTGTGGATGTTGCTGCTGTAGATGTTGCTGCCGTGGATGTTGCTGTTGCGTGCAATAATTCAAGTCGTGCTGTCGACTTATCTGCGCTGCTGCTTTGGGAAATCGTACGCCTGCCTTTTGCTGCAAATGTCGGAAGAGAGATCGGAGTGCATTAGTGAAATGTTGCTGATTGGTACACAAATAGTCATGGAAAATGCGGCGAAAATCATTGGTAGAGAAAATGCATTGCAAGAGGGTACTAAACGGGTTTTAGTTAAGTGTACAGTGCGTTTCGGTATAATAATAGGGGCTGTATCTAGGGCAACTCAGTGCACTGCACAAAAAAATGTTAGACTAATACTTTTTTTCTTATTCCTTATCCGCTTACTTAATCTTCCCAAAATTCATATCTAATATATAGTCTTCCAACTAAAATGAATATTAAGTTTCTTTATAAATATGGCTAATTTTATGTTTTTAATATTCAACCTAACTTAAATGAAGATATCAAAAATGAAGAATGATAATTAAAGGTTATTTATGCAAAGTTGCTTAATTTCTTTTCAAAATATTCAATATTAAATATTTTGGTTGAGCTAAGACCAAAATTTGTGTAACTTAGTCAATAGCAGACTCATTAATGTCTTTCTTTACCAATGAAGTATTTAAATTATCTCCACTGTCAAATGGGACATTCGAGCCATAACTTGTGCAGTTTAGAAACAGTTGTTTCCACAAATTATGGGACACCAGCCAACTTTAATGTCCCTCCTCAGATAGTAGCCTCCATAAGCTGCTCAACAAATTAAAAGCTGATATAAATGGCTGACTTGGCCATCACGGCGGGCCTATGGCATGGGCAAACATCAATTATAATTCGCAGTAAGTAAGAGTGATAACTGAGGTCGCCGAGCTCAGCTCGGGCAAACCGATCAGCGCCACCGCCTGCGGTTCAATAAAATCCCAAAGCCCAAACCCAAAGCCGCAGCACGCATACGCCCTGTTGTATGCGGGACTTGTCAGTTTCATTTCTGCCTCGTCGTTAACCATTAAAAACATAAGCAACTATGAATTTTTATGGCAATGTGTGTCATTGCCTGGCGAGGAATCAATTAAAAAAGTGTTCGAGGGGCCTTTTTGGCGAGGCTTGCGCAAAATTACGTTGACAATTTCACTCGATTTGGTATGCGGCATAAACTGCCACTCAACTCGAGCGAAGTCAAGAAGCCTTCATGCCTGGGTGCGGCATTGCTTTGCGTAATTTTGGTTAAAGAAATAAAAACCCAGACTTTACTAAGCGGATGAGTCCACATTTTGACCCTCACATTAGTTATGATTCTTTGTTATGCTGATGAGTTATTGTGGCAAACGAGGGACAAAGCTACGCATAGCATTTCTATTTTTACATTGGCCAAGAACCTTTCTAGTAAACGGCCAAAGAGGATGGGCGAAAGTTCAACGATCGTTGGCCAGAAACATAAGCCGAAACTTCTTTTTTTGGCCACTGGCAGTTCCCATGATTAATTGAGCCAAGCAGGATGCCATGTAAGAAAAGTCTAAAAGAAAGAGATTTGCATGATGATGATGGTGCTAATGCCAAACTGATGATCACAAAGAACAGCCCCATGATAACCATTTTTTAAATTATATGTTATTCGTAATTTGGCTATAATTCGAATAGATTTTTTTGTGTGTCCGCCGCCAAGCTTTGCTCATTAAGTTCGCTCCCAGTTTAATTATAAGAAATGCCATTGACTCGCTCATTCGTGCTCGTTTTTATATGATTATATTTTTTGTTAATATTTTTTGTTAATTTGTTATAACATCAGCATTCTAAACTTAACTCCCGAGGCGAGCAATGCGATTACAAACGAGTAAGATAGACACGAGAAGGTGTTTGGAGCTAAAGATACTCATTAGTGAAAACACCGTAAAAAGCTAATGTACTTTGGCTCCAAATAAGCCTTCTTAAAAAGTTGAATAGCTCAAGAAAATTAATATTTTTATGAAGGAACATTTGAATACATTTTTTAGAGTTGGAACTACCTTTTCTGTTCGTTCTACACATGAGGTAGTGTACCCGTATTTATAATTGCCAAAAAAGCCGCTTATAATCACTTTTTGTCATGTTGGTTCTCAAACTCAATCAACGTCTCCAAATCGAACAGAAATATATTCAAGAGGCTTACAATTGGATGACTTTTGGAGTGGTTCTCGGTTTGTTTGTTTGATTCCTGCGATGATTGATAAAGTGCGCAGTCGAGAAATCTTTGGGGATTTAAGCCCAGCGTGCGAAAGAATTTCTGGTCGGTGAATAGATAGAATTCCCCATCACAAAAACGCCCACACAACCGATCGTGCGATGCTGTGGCTTTGTTTTGCCGTTTTTGTATAGTATTGTGCCGAACAATGGGTTAAACTTGGCCACAGATGATTAAACATGCAAATTGGCGTTGGGAAATCGTGGACGAGCAAAGACACGACACGGCCAGTTAAAAATGTTTATCAATCCGGCGATTTTATCAGCCGGGAGCGATCTGCGGATCGCATAAACACACTCGTAAAACAAAACATCGCGGGCAAAATAAATGCAAATTTTATTGCCAGTTTCTGTTGCAATCACTCAACTTAAGTGCAACCGAAGAGGAGCTGGAATCCAAACAGCAAAACGTAAGATTGCTTCTAAGATTTATCTACACACGGAAATAAATTTAATGTTTATTTTATAAACCATTTAACTCTTGGTTCTAAGAGGTAGTTATTAGATAAGTTTATTGTTATAAAAGGAAGGAAGCTTTTTATTAATACTCATGAAAGTGTTTTTCCTTTAAGAACTATAATTAATCAATATGCTAATAAAAAGGCGCCAAGGTAGTATCAAAGTATCTTAGGAATGTTGTATCTCATCCATAATTAAAATGGATGGGGGAATAATTCATCTTACAGTTAGCTAATTATATCATGTAACAACACGCCGACAAAGGTTAACCAGTTAGAAGATTAACTTATTAAAGTACAAAATGTAAAGTACATATCACAAAGCATTAACAAATATTAAGAAGTTAAGCTACGATCTTTGAAAATTAAAAAAAAAAACCTAGCTCTAAAAATTCATAGGAAAAATAAAGAAATTAAGCTCATAAACTCATTAAAAAGTAGACGCAAATTTGCTTAGTTTCTTTGAATATTTCAAGTGTTTTGTCAACCATGAAGGTGAAGTCGTCTTCAAAAGATTTTAAAATCCAAGCCACGCATGACAAAATCGACAGCAGATGTCGTCAACTTCCTTTTAGGTAATGAAATAATTATGTAGAATAAATATTAAGTAACTAACGCTTTTGGTGTGTGTATGATGTTTGTATAACAACCGACAAATTTAATAATACAAATAATGCATAATTTAGTCATACCCTGCCACAGCAGTTCCGAGTTTCAATTTGAGTTTGAGTCTGATTTTGAGGCTGAGTCCGAGCGTGCAATAGAATAATTAACCCTGAACCCCGCAATATACTTATGGCTCTGCGAACTCACGTACGTAAGAATACCCCATTGTTGTTGGCCCACTCACTACAATCATTTGCCAGGCGGATTTTTACACGTTTGGTTCTCGGAACCAGGCAAAATCTAGAAATTCCTCTTATGCGGCAAAGTGCGCAAATATTTGTCAGCTATTTTCGGGTGTTTTTTTTATCGAGTGAGATTAGCTAATAGCTTCGGTAAACTTCAAGAAGTGGCCTCCCACTTGGAGCTTTTGATCGAAATATTTTTATATTCCCCCCAGGGTGCACATTTGGATGATTGGTAACATTCAATCCGCATCTCCGTTTGTGCAAGACTTTTAAAAAGCGCTGAAAATTAATGGCATGCACTTAAAATCGCGTTAGGTGGAGGGGCCAAGCGGATATATCTCTATATAGAGACTGAGAAGGGGGATGTCGACTTGATTGAAAATGACAGTTAACGTGCCGACGCAGTCATTAAGGCAAATTTGCAGTTTGCGGTCAGGCAATATGGAATGTACGGATCGGGGGATTTGATTTCGGATGGGGATAGAAATGGGAGATTTGCGTGTGTGGTTATGCAAAGGCTGAAGGAAAGTGCAAGTGGCAGCTGATGGCTATGAAAAGTGTGTGTGATCGGATAAAATCGCTGCTGTTGAGACAATTGCTGCTCCGGTTAGATAATCTGCCTTGTGGCACACTAACCGCTATAACGGCTTCGAGGGCACTTATCGAAAATCTGCAGGCCAACTATATATTCGCAACACCAAATTAAAATTATTAGCCAAGTAACTAAAAAACTTTTTGGACTATTAACCATGATTGGTAGTTTAGAGTATATGTTCAGCTAAAACATAAATTCAACGAAATAAAAAGTAATATTAAGGAAGTAAGGATCATAAATCATAGCTTAATGTCTGGTAAATCCCTCACTCATTTTATGCCCATCACGTATAAAAACATCTCATTTTAAGTGGGATCAAGTGGAACAGGGAGTGTTTTGCTGCACTTCCCACAAAGAGTAATGTATCTCACCCTCTTAAATTGCAATTTGCTTATTCTTTTGTCAAGCTCAAGGCTTTGAACTGACTCTATTTGCTTTTATTGTGCACTTTTAAGGTGCCGCCTTTAAAGACGCGTGGGCGGATTGGAGTTAACTCTATAGAGGTGGTGATAAAGGCGGAGGGGATCTGATCGCTTTGCTACAGTGACCGATTTCGTTAGGAATTTCTAGACGCGCCCATGAGTCATCGAGTAGGAGTCTGTGAGGTGCGCAGTTGCAAAAGTACTTACTGCAAAATACCCATAAAACTGTTAACAGTTGCCCTGCATTTACTAATTAGTGCAAAGTATTCTGTGCCGCTCCCCGGAGTAGACCAGTCTGGAACTAAACCTATACCTTAACAGTGATCACTCGATTTATTCTTCGAATTTAAATAATGGTTTAAACATTTTATAAATAATTATAAAAATTACCTCTGAAAAGAGCCAATGGTATTTATTTGATAATGTAGATAAAAAACGATCAAATTTTTCATGAATTTATTAAATTGTAATTAATTCAGTAAAACAATGT